AGAGAGAGAGAGAGAGAGAGAAAGAGACTGACAGAGAGAGACAGAGATAGAAAGAGAGAGACACAGAGAGAGAATTCAATGTAGAAAACGTGGGCATCTTCCAAGCATGAGCTAAGTTTTAAGGTGGGAGACTACATGTGTGTAACTCTAACAGTTTCTCCATGCCTGGCCTACAGCTTCCTAGAGGTGCAGATCTGTGTGTCCTGTCATGTTCGTTCTAGGCTCCTCGTTAGTTAGATTGATACGTCGCTTCTGCCCCTTGACTTACAGACGACTTGACACCTCGATTGTTTGGTTTGTTTTTTGGGTTAGTTTATTTTCTATTTTGTTTATTTCCTTGCTGTTTACATGTTCAGCCCCGTCTAGTTTACCTGACTTTCTGAACACCTCTACGAATGCTCTTTTGGTTCGTTTCTTTTTATAATATTCACCATCTAAAATAGTCATTATATTTGATTCTAGTTTTGATTGATCTTATGTTTTGATTTGTGTCTAGAATAGAGAAAATGTGTGTTTTAAATTCTATTTTTCTTGTTTAACTCTCCGTCTTTTGTTGCCTGCATTGTTTTATTGTTGTTTTCTTGAATTAACAGCTTGATTTTTCATGACAACAATTCGGAGGATTTTGCCTGTTGCATGGAACTAACGTCTTTGATCTGTAGTTTTTTTAATCTACACAGAAATTGCATGAAATATCTACTGTTAAGACGATAATACATTATATTTTATACCAACTTAGAGGCAATTTGTTGAAATAAAATGATAAAAGTTACTGTAGGGCTATTGACGATGAAACAAATCAGTTGTATGTCAAACAACGTTGATGCCACTTCAGGTATTTTAAAGTAAATTCAGATTGATCAAAGCTGTAGTCAGCAGCATATCAAATGTTTATCAGACAAATTTTGAGATAAAACATCATCAGTTGTAGATAGTTTCCAGTTCTAAGGAACTTTTATTCCCCGACATCTTAGAGAGAAGCAGCCAGAACACAGCTCACCAGTTTTATCCATTTCTGGCCTTGATAAGATACTGGAGAAAATCTTTTATTCTGTAGGCTATTACCAAGGTAATTATAAAAATACCCCCACCCCATCCTCCCTTTTGGAAAAGCAAACCACCAAAAACTAACAAAGAACAATCATCAGATAAAGAAAACATGTTAAAATCCTCTAACTTCTACTTTATCGGCCGTTTTAGTGTTTTGGTTTTTTTAAAATTAAAAAATCAAATATTTCCCCTTCCCCCCAATGGATGCTGTACTCTATACTTTTTATCCATTGATTATATCACGGGTTTTTTCTTTCTTTCTTTTTTTCTTTGTTTGTTGTTCCTCTGGTTCGTTGTTGGCGCTGTTGGTGGTGGTGACGTGTTTTTGGTTCACTTCCTTGCTTCGTCTCCGTCCGTGTTGTTCGACCCCCGGTGCCTTCCCTTGGTTCCTTGTGTTCTTCCTCCTGATTGGTTGAACCCGGCCCCGACACTCTATCCCCCCGACCATCTGGACTGTGACTGTTGTTTGACCTCTGGTTCGGACCGACCCTGTCACATGACCGGTGCTGGAACCCGCCCCCTCTAGCACGGAGCTGGGTTTAGAGCACAAGCGTGAATCTGCTTCTAGAGGGAACCGAGAGATGGACAACGACAGCGGGGTGGGCGTGTCGGCCACGGAGAGACGGTTCGCCTACAGCCTGCTGGAGAAACTGCTGGAGTACCTGGAGAAGGCATCGGTCAACATGCAGATGACCCGGCCCAGCACGCGCTTCTCCCGACGTCACAGCTACTCCACGGCCACAGAGGACGTCAAGTTCTTCGGCAAGGTGGGTCGTGTTTAGGGGCAAGGTGGGTCGTGTTTAGGGGCAAGGTGGGTCGTGTTTAGGGGCAAGGTGGGTCGTGTTTCGGGGCAAGGTGGGTCGTGTTGTAAGGGCAAGGTGGGTCGAGGGTGGGTCGTATTTAGGGGCAAGGTGGGTCGTGCTGTAGGGGCAAGATGGGTCGTGTTTAGGGGCAAGGTGGGTCGTG